TTCATTCGTGAGTAAATTGGCAACAATTCGTACTGTAATCCTAAAGATGCGAACGGGTCAGAAATTGCTAGAATAACTAGAGATCGATAAATATTAATAATAATGAACTAAAATTCGAAATAAACACGCAAAAGTTAGAAATTTACTTAAAGGACACCTTTGGCTTCGAAAGGCTTCGAGATGGGAAACCAGTATATTTTTGCAGTATTTGAGGAAATATCAGTTTGTAATGACATTTGATATATCAAATAAGTTTTTGGAGTAGAACAACAAATAATTTTATCGAAAAAAGTATCAGTTTAAACTATGTGATCATCGATACAGGGGTTGGCTAGTATAAGTCTATATCTCACAGCTAAGATTTTGCTGATCGACTCAAATTCTTTAAATTTTGACCGAATTTAAAGTTTTTCTTTCGGTGATACTAAAATCGATTAAAGGGACATAATTATATCTAAAAAACATAATTTTTGTATAATATTGTGATATTTCCATATATTTTAATCAACCTGAGTAGTTTACCAAATTTCGTAGGTAATGCAAAGTTTCATTAAATTAGAAACTAATTCTTTATATTTTTAGGCTAGTTCCAGAAAGAGGACATATTGATGCAGGAAGCTTAAATGTTGCCGGGGAACGTACCAAGTCAATTCTTCTTTTATTGTTCATTTTATTTTTTTGGGCAAACAAAATTTTGCGTAAAGTGCCCCCAATGTGAACGCCGACTAGCAAATTTTTGCTTTATTTTTGGGCAAACATTTATTTGCCCTTAAAATATTTTTGTACGGGCAAACAATGGAAAATAACAGCTGATGAATTCATTTATATTTTGGAATTTCGTTTGAAAACAAAACATTAAAGTGTCAATATCCAATCAAACATGACATTTTTATTAGTGGAAAACATAATTTCAGGCCCTAGGTACGCCCTAGGTAATGTGAAAACAAAATCAAGAGTGTGCAAATTTGAAATTTTTTTGAGCAAACAAAAAATAGACGTTTGAGTCAAATATTTGCGTAGTGTGACCTTAGCTTTACTAAACTGTCTCTCAGTATTATCGCAAAAGAGAGTAAAAACGGCTTACTCTCTGAACTAGAACTTCCCAGCGAACTAGAACTTCCCATCTGAGACCAAATACAATGTAACAGCGTAGGCCGTCATATGGGTCCGAAATCGACCGACATTGTAAGCGACGGTCGGATGTGTCCGACTCTTCGGATGGGTATTAATATTTTCCTATTAGGATCTATAATGGGAAGGATGGAACTAAAATTTCCACTGTTTTATTCTCAAAATATGTTTATTATTAAAATGCATGTAAACAAAGGGGAGTCAATCAATAAATTAAACATTTTATAGTAGGATATTGTTCGGAAGTGTCTGCTTTGTGAACTTTGAAACAGATCCTAATTTTTTGGCGTAATCCTTTCCATTTTATCCCTCACATCGAACAGCTTCTAAAATATGTACAGAAAATAATGGAAAACACACAATATCCAAATACACAGCACTTACCATGCTTTTTAATTTAATTTTTTTAATATTATTATTTTATTTTTCCACTTCACATCTTTCACTTTCAAAAACAACTAAGAAAATGAAATTTTACTTGAAAAGAATTTAAAGAACAAAAAGACATCAAAAATGATTAACGGTACAACACCAGCTGAAAAACCAAATAACGAAAAATATTAACAATAAGGTGCAATACAAAGCCATCCAAGTACGACGACAACATTTTATTATATATTGTCTTGTTCTTCAATTCTAGTATGATTTTGTTTCACAATGTAGTTGTATGCTATTAATTCCCATTTTCCACAGGAAAATTTTTATTTGGCAAATTCTGAGTTTATAGGCGAGAGGAGTGCAAGGAAGAAAAACAAAAGTTTGTCTGTTCAGAATTTGCGGTACACGCAAGTTCTGCTTTGCTCTGTTCGTTGAAAACAATATTGTTGACATTTCCTTTTTTACCTATTCGTTTTACTGACACACAGCCGGCTTTTTTTACAAACCTGTTGCTTTAATTTGTGCAAGTGAAATTTAATTTTTGCAATTTATATAATAAAATATAAAAAAATAAATAAAATATTAAAAAATTATTTAAAAGGTAAATACTTTTGACGTTTCTTTCATTCTTTTGTATTTTGGTTCGCTAATTTGGCAAAGAAAAATTTGTTAGTTGAAAAGCAGGCGAAAATTTAAAAAGAGAAAAAAAATTTGCCCTTATTTCCTATTGACATTATGGCCTGTGGACTGCTGGGTTACTGAGTAAATGTTGCTGGAAATGTAACCAGACACACCTATTTACATGTGGTTGTTTTACAACAACACTTGCTGTCACCTTATATTTCTATACCATTATGTCATGGTACAATTATAAAAGGTAACAGGAAATCCCAGCTGATTTGATTCCAACGTAATACTAGTGTCGATATGAATTTGACAAATTATGTTTTTAAAAATCACCCAACAGGAAAATTGGGAACACATACAATTTGAAATTGTTCTTTATTAAATATGCTCCCGTATTCAATTTACTCAATCTGCCTGCTGGGAAAGTTTCAGGAAGCAAATCTTTCTTCAAGGAATAACTCGCTATTCCCGGCATTTTCATATGTGTTACACATATATGTGGCAATGGCTCAATTATAGGAAAGATGTGGAAGCGATAGAAATATAACTTTGAAAGATTTTCATTCATGTTTTTCAATTTTTATTTTGAGGATTCGAAAATATTTCATTTTCAAAATAAAAATAATTTGATGATAATTTGTTTGTTTGTTTACATTTTTCTGTCAAATGAGTTGACACTAGTAGAACTTACAACAACAAATTTCCATGTGGTTGTTGTATTGTTTTTTGTACAACAACACTTGCTGTTACCTTCTATTATTATACCATGCCATTATGTTTTGTTTTTATTTTCAACAAAGGAAAGAAACAAAACACGTTCTGTCATAATTCAATTTGTTCAAATTGATATTTCATACGTCCCAAATTAAATTAAGAGAGTTTACTTGTGGCAAGTCTTTGTTTGTAAGAGCGAGGAGCAAGGGGAATATACATGGCTCGTACCGGCAATTTTCTGGCAATTAGTTTTGTGTATATCGTATAGTAGTGTCAGAAACTTGAAATACCAATCCAACCATGATGCAATAATAAGGTGATGTATCAAAACAAAAACCTTTGTTTTTGTCTCGATTATCTGTCAAATTTTTCCATATAATATTTCAAATGGTTGGCAACACTGCACATCGAATTCAATTAGAATTACCCACTTTGACAGTTGATCAAGACATCAGCTGAGCTAAATGGACTACCTATTTATTGTGCCATGAATCCAACCAAGGACATTTTAGATGATGTTATTTTTGTCTTTTGTATTAATATTTGTATTATTCATTTATTGTTGTTTTGTTTCCCAAAAAATTAACAAAAAAAATCACAAAATAAAAAAACTAATGTTTTTGAAACCTAATGGACTTGTAAAGACGCATGAAGCAAGTTCAAAAGAGAACGATTTTATCCGCAAGTACACTTGCCTCATCTAAATCAGGACAACGTTCGGCATTTGTACTGTACATTTGTCTAACGAGTGGTGCTCCCAAGTTTTTAAAGTTTTGTTAAGGGCACACAATGTGCGATATAAACACGATTAGTGATGCCAAATTCACATTATTTTATTAAACCTGTCCTAGTGATTGATTTGCTGTTTATTATTGGGCCAAAAATTTCAAGTTTTTTATAACAATCTAAACGGGTGTACAAAATATGGAGACACTTTGGCGCAAAATTTAACTTGTATGATCGTGTGATCCGTAATGAACGTCATTCATCAAGCATCTACTAAAATATTCATGGTTGTTATGCGGTGTACACACTAGCATTTTTGAAGGGCACTCTTGCCCAAATTTTGCTTGTTTGATAGTGTGGCCTTGTTATTCATCAGGCAACCACAAAAATATTTATGGTTGTTGTAATCGATAAAAAAGTTGACAGTCAAAAATGATAGTGTGTACACCGCTTTAGATAGTCAGTAACAAAACAAAAAAGAAAAACAACTGACAGTCAAAAGTGTAAAGAGCTGCGCATAAGAAGTTAAAATATATTTAACTCCGAAATGTTATCGTTTCCTTGTGGTTGTTGTATTTTCGATAAGAAATCACACAACCGATGACGCAACGGATCCATTCTGGTTATGCCTTTAAAAACGAACGTTTTTAAAACGGAAAGTAATGAAGTTCAACCTGCTTGTACAGTTTAGGGAGCTGCATGCACTGAGACGCACGTGTTAGTGCGGTAATAAAATTTGACTTTTCAGTTTTTTCCCACTCAAATTCGATTTACACGTCCCTAATTCTCAATTCCAAAAATAGACGATAACATAAACAAATTCCTCGTCATTATAAACATTTAAGAAATTCTAAAAGTGTTGCCGAAGCGGGAAGGAAAATTGAGAAAAATCAAATAAGGAGTTGTTTAAATATAGTGGTGGACAATACATTTTAGTAACGTGTCGTTTCATTTACGAGCTACAAGTTTTTCCAGAAGTTGAAAATAAAAGCCTCATATATGTAGATGTGATATCTGTATCAAGAAATGGAGTAACTATACCTTTAACAAGAGTGTGTGTGTGCGCGCATTACAAAAACTATACCACCGAACCTGAACAAGTAGCATTGGCTATATGCACAAACTAAGCTCCACATGAAAGTGGATACAACGACGACGCTAACGAGTTAACAAGACATAATCAGTTCTGTGTGTATTCAATTGTAGACATTTTGGAGCATTCAGAACATCGTTAGCTAAACCAGTTACCTATTGCAGTGTACGAAGAGGACAGTTTAGCTGACGATAACTTGTTTTGCTCAGATATCTAATCGAAGTCCATGCAACATGTAAAACCAAATAATCTCTTGAACAGTAAATAACAGTTCGGCGATTTGTATTGGAGAAACAAAGGTGAAGATATGTTCTCAAAGGCAACAATAAATATGAGCAATTATATTTTGTGTGCAATAATCTTGCTTTCGACGGGGTCGCATGTGATCGCAGTAAACGAATTCGGAACGCGCCAATGTGAACCAATACGTATAGACCTTTGTCGAAATATTGGATACAATGAAACGTCAATGCCCAATTTGGCAGGCAATGAAGTTCAAAGCGATGCTGAGTACACACTGACGTCGTTCTCACCTCTAATAGAATATGTATGCAGTACGCAATTGAAGTTATTTCTCTGCGCTACATATGTGCCAATGTGCACGCTACAAACACCAGTGCCAATTGGACCCTGCAGGAGTCTCTGCGAGAGTGTTCGTTCTCGGTGTGATCCGGTTCTTCAAGGCTTTGGATATCTTTGGCCTCCTGCATTGGACTGTAGTAGATTCCCCAAGCAGAACAATCAAGAAACCATGTGTATGGAAGGTCCCGGGGAGTCATCTGAGACGTTACCTATTGGAGATTCTCTGACGCCTGTAAAATCTCCACCCCACCAAACAATGACAGCAGCAATTCCTACTTTAGAATGTCCCGGACACTCAAAACAGTATGTGAAATTGCCTCGATCTTGGCGCTGTGCGCCTTTGTGTGAAGCCAGTATTCTATTCAGTGCAAACGATAAACACATTGCTGAAGTTTGGACAAGCACTTGGACATATGTTGCACTGAGTCTGGGACTGTTAACAGTATTATGCGTTTTGGTTTGTGATTCCGAAACAAAAATAAATGAGGCAAAAAACACTCGGGTATTGTCACCATTGATGTGGTGCCACATAATGGTTGTAATCGGATGGACAGTACGTTTTGTTGCGGGACGCAATGCCACAGCTTGCGGATACGATCCTCAGTTGCCAAATGTATCTCTATTACTTGTTGATGGGCTGTCTAATGGACCTTGTGCTGCTACATTTCTTCTGAGGTATTATTTTGGCATGGCTGCGACGGCTTGGTAAGTAATGTGTAATGTTTAATATTACATACCTATTTATAACAACAAATGTGTTATATAGCATTTCCAGATTAAATGAAACCTTTTACAAATTAAATGAAACCTTTTCCAAATTAAATGAAACCTTTTCCAAATTAAATGAAACCTTTATTCGTATCCAAGGAAATATAATATTTACAGTAATTTTAAATCAATATTTGAAAATTAAATCAAAGAATATTAACAAATATAGTTGTATGGCTATGTAATTAACATAAATATTCTTTAATTCGGTGTGATTTCACTGGGGTATTTCTTGACATTTTAATAAATAAATATTTAAGAACAAGAATTGAATACCCGGTCCTAAATGCGAAATACATATTTGACTAAATAAATTGTTGATGATAAGGTAACTGCTTATCTTAATGAAGGGGTTCCCGACTTGCAGCTTGTGGGATTTTCAAAACCATGTCCATAACGTAGTTAGAACAATCTTGCCGAGTAAGCTTTTGAATACTTCGCTCGATTACATCAGCAATGTTATATTCCATTGAAACGTCACACAGCTCAGCTCTTGCATTAATTTTATTTTTGACAGGGACCGAAAATAACAGTTATTTTTTAAAATGCGAACAAAAAAATCTTCATGTTAGAGACATGGGACACCAATAGTGTCATATACCAATAGATTCGTACTGAGGAGCCCATTAAGGATATTGAGTGATCTTGAGAAAACACTCTCAGTTCCCATGTTAAGGATTATTTTTTAACGGAAAAAATAAACGTTGATTTTTAACTGTTAAAAATGATTTTTATTTTTTCCGTCAAAAATAAAAGTCTTTTTTGGACTTTTATTTTTTCCGTCAAAAATAACAGTCTTTTTGGGACTTTTATTTTTTCCGTCAAAAATAAAAGTCTTTTTGGGATTTTTATTTTTTCCGTCAGAAAATAAAAGTCCTTTTGGGATTTTTATTTTTTCCGTCAGGAAATAAAACTCTTTTTATGTAAAGAAGTTTATACAACTTGTAATCAGTTATAAAATTACAATTTATAAATCTCTGTCCTTATTACAATAAGTGTACACATAAGTAATCAAGATCAAAGGTAAAAAATATTTGTTATAAATTTTTAAAAAATAGTCTTGTGTACCAACTCATGAATATAAATTAAAGAATCATTCCCCTGACTATTAGGTCAAAGGTTATATAACTGGTACCAAACTCTATATATTTATTTACGTAAAAAGACTTTTATTTTCTGACGGAAAAAATAAAAATCACAAAAACACTTTTATTTTTGACGGAAAAAATAAAAGGCCCAAAAAGACTTTTATTTTTGACGGAAAAAATAAAAGTCCCAAAAAGACTGTTATTTTTGACGGAAAAAATAAAAGTTCCAAAAAGACTTTTATTTTTGACCAAAAAGACTTTTATTTTTGACGGAAAAAATAAAAATCATTTTTAACAGTTAAAAATCAACGTTTATTTTTTCCGTTAAAAAATAATTAATTAAAGTGGATTTTTTTTATTTAGGTCACATAATAACAGTTATTTTTTACCTGATTTGATATAAGTTATAACCGTTACGGTCCCTGATTTTTGAAAATGCATTTTCAATTGGATTTAGCATTGGAGAATAAAGCGGTAGGAATTTAAGGTTGCATCTTTTGGATTCGATCAAATTTTTTATGTCATGTCGCTTGTGTATTTGAGCGTTATTTTCCAACTCTGCCTATAAAATGCCTTTAAATAATTTAAATCTGTCTGCATTGACACTGGAATTAGAAACGATTGTGTGATGTACAACTCCCGCGATGTTTATTGCTGCAATTATAGTGACATTACGACCTCTGAACGTAGGCAACACAATGTGTGCTCTTGTTCCTTGTCTTGAACGGGCTTGGGTTCTTCGTATGTGAAGATTAAATCCACACTCATCAATGAATATTAATTTTTCTCCTTGTTGGGGTAACCATTTTGAAAAGTCTTGAGCATATTTTTGTCTCATGCCTAATGTACTGGAGTCATTCGTTCGTTCTACTTCAATAGAGGCCATCTTCAACGTAATTTTTAATTTCCATAATCCATTTTCTATACAGCTTGTGGAAATATTTATATCATTTTCTCTCAGCAGTTTAGTTTTTATGGCTTTGAGGGTAATTCCAGGTTGACTTTCTATATAGAACTCGATCAGACTTAAAACTTGTGGTGTCAACAACTTAGTTCTATTTCCTCCGCGCTTATTTTCCTTCAATGTTCCAAAATTTTGATGGTATCTTCTTATTAATGTTTTTGCTGAATTTATTTTATGCAGGTTAAATTTGCAGCCTCGGAAATGGTTCTCCCCTCTTCATAGAATTTAAATAATAACAATTTCATGTCTTTTGTTATTTTGTTATACTGACCCAATTTGTTTCGGGGTCTTGTAGATGTAGCTTCGGTAGTTTCTGGAGCATTTCCACTTGTAATACTTGGCGAGGATATTGATTCTTCCTCAGGTTCCCAATTATCAGAGCTTCCCGAGCTAAAATCAGGTTCGCATTTATTTTAATCGTTGCTATTTTTAAATACAGTGAACTCTCGATAATGTGAACATCCAAAACAGTGAACTCTCTACAATGTGAAGTAATTACAAAAAATTTTTGGAACATTGAAGGAAAATAAGCGTGGAGGAAATAGAACTAAGTTGTTGACACCACAAGTCAACCTGGAATTACCCTCAAAGCCATAAAAACTAAACTGCTGAGAGAAAATGATATAAATATTTCCACAAGCTGCATAGAAAATGGATTATGGAAATTAAAAATTACGTTGAAGATGACCTCTATTGAAATAGAACGAATGAATGACTCCAGAACATTAGGCATGAGACAAAAATATGCTCAAGACTTTACAAAATGGATACCCCAACAAGGAGAAAAATTAATATTCATTGATGAGTGTGGATTTAATCTTCACATACGAAGAACCCTAGCCCGTTCAAGACAAGGAACAAGAGCACACATTGTGTTGCCTACGGTCAGAGGTCGTAATGCCACTATAATTGCAGCAATAAACAACGCGGAAGTTGTACATCACACAATGGTTTCTAATTCCAGTGTCAATGCAGACAGATTTAAATTATTTATAGACATTTTTTTTGAGAAAATCAATCCAGAGTTGGAAAATAACGCTCAAATACACAAGCGACATGACATAAAAAATTTGATCGAATCCAAAAGATGCAACCTTAAATTCTTACCGCTTTATTCTCCAATGCTAAATCCAATTGAAAATGCATTTTCAAAAATAAAATTATGTGCAAGAGCCGAGCTGTGTGACGTTTCAATGGAACATAACATTGCTGATGTAATCGAGCGAAGTATTCAAAAGCTTACTCGGCAAGATTGTTCTAACTGCGTTATGGACATGGTTTTGAAAATCCCACAAGCTGCAAGTCGGGAACCCCTTCATTAAGATAAGCAGTTACCTTATCATCAACAATTTATTTAGTCAAATATGTATTTTGCATTTAGGACCGGGTATTCAATACTTGTTCTTAAATATTTATTTATTAAAATGTCAAGAAACACCCCAGTTTGTATTACTATTTATTTAGTTTTATGTAGTAATGATATTAAATGAAATCACACCGAATTAAAGAATATTTATGTTAATTACATAGCCATACAACTATATTTGTTAATATTCTTCGATTTAATTTTCAAATATTAGTTTAAAATTACTGCAAATATTGTATTTCCTTGGATAAGAATAAAGGTTTCATTTAATTGGGAAAAGGTTTCATTCTATTTGGAAAAGGTTTCATTCCAATTGGAAAAGGTTTCATTCTATTTGTAAAAGGTTTCATTTAATTTGGAAAAGGTTTCATTTAATTTGGAAAAGGTTTCATTTAATCTGGAAATGCTATATATTAGACGTATAAACCAAGGTTAATATACTACTATTAAAAGTAGTATATTAACCCTTTGAGCCCCGAATTTTTTCCGTAATCATAGAACAATTTTCTGTTCACAGATTTAATGCTATATCCTTGCATTCGGGAGATGCAGTACATTCTTTCTGAAAAATAAAAGCCCAATATCAAGAAAACCAAATGCAAAATCGACGAAAAAATCATTTTAAATTATTCTCTATATTCTGCTTTACAAGAATCAAAAATAATTCTGATGACAGAATTCGTACATTTCGAATACGAAGCGATTTAAATATATTGGACTGTATACACAAATTAGTACTGTACACATTTTTGCACTCTTCTCGGTATTAAAAAGCTCATAACTTTACCAAAAATTTGAATTTTTAGATTTTTCTTGTGATATGTGTCGTCTATAATCAGTCTTGACATAGGAAACCCAAAGAATGCATATCTACTAGCTGTATAATAAATATAAGCTCTAAAACATTTTGTGCCTGTGGGCAACATTGGGCCACAAAGGGTTAACACAATATTCTATGATTTGACAAATCTTAAATAAATTAATTAAGTAAAATATTAATTCATTTATTTAAGATTTGTCATGATTGAACTTAGGGGAAATTATAAAAAGATTTTTTTAAGGTGGAAATCAAAAATACCCACTGGAAACTTATCAAAACATATTTATCAATACATAATATTTATAATTTGTAAAAAAATACTGAACCAAAATCGTGAACAAATTTTTGAAGGAGCGAACCATTGTGGTACGACGATTAAATTTAAATACAAGCAAGTATTATTTATCTCAAAAATATCATTAAGTCACCACCAGGCAACGAAAACCATCGTGTGCGATACCACATATTTATAAATGAAACGCACATTCGTTAATTCATAGTGTATCTTTCTCATTACAATTGAATCTAATGTAAGGCGATAATGTTCGGTATTTGATGGGACACATTCGTCACTTACAAGTATAGTCTGATAATTGTTATTGCTAGCAGTCTGGTTAGAATTTATATCGACTAAACGTTATATTTTGTTCCAATACGCAACTCAATGTTATACCCTTAATGGGTATAGACCCGGAAAAAACAAATACATTGGACTACCTTGTATAATTATGCCATGGATCAAATTACAACAAATACAATTCAACAGCAACCAGCATGGTATAATAATAAAAGGTAACAGCAAGTGTTGTTGTACAAAAAACGATACAACAACCACATGGAAATTTGTTGTTGTAAGTTCTACTAGTGTCAACTCATTTGACAGAAAAATGTAAACAAACAAACAAATTATCATCAAATTATTTTTATTTTGAAAATGGAATATTTTCGAATCCTCAAAATAAAAATTGAAAAACATGAATGAAAATCTATCAAATTTATATTTCTATCGCTTCCACATCTTTCCTTTAATTGAGCCATTGTCATATATATGTGTAACACATATGACAATGCTGGGAATAGCGAGTAATTCCTCCAAGAAAGATTTGCTTCCTCAAACTTTCCCAGCAGGCAGATTGAGTAAATTGAATACGGGAGCACATTAATAAAGAACAATTTCAAATTGTATGCGTTCCCAATTTTCCTGTTGGGTGATTTTTAAAAACATATTTTGTCAAATTCATATTGACACTAGTATTACGTTGGAATCAAATCAGCTGGGATTTGCTGTTACCTTTTATAATTGTACCATGAGCAACCAGATAGAAAATAGTTATTGTATCCCAAGAAACCAAAAGTATTGAAAATTATATTATAGTAAGCTTACCAACTTAAGCTTGAAAAGTTAGTAATAATTGTAGAAATCCCAAAACGGAAACCTCGTGATATAATTGTTTGTGTAATATTACTAAAAACTTACTCTTAATAAACAATTGTGTACAACAATAGTTTCTCAAGCATAGTTAAGAATTGCTTGTTCATTCATATTTTAACAACATTTTTGTAATATTGCTAAAAAAAAATGCTTAAGAACAACTATTAGTATAGGCTTGTTCTCAAGATTTATTGAGATTTGATTGCTGAACGGTATTTGGGATGTAATTCTAAGTTAGTTTGATATGTCGAAAATTGTAAACAAAGCATACGAAATATCTCATGGTACAATTATAAATGGTAACAGCAAAACCCAGCTGATTTGATTTGAACGTAATACTCGTGTCACATGAATATGACAAATTGTGTTTTTAAAGATTACCCAACTTCTTATTCACTTCAATACGAGTGAACCTATATTGTTTATTATAGCTATTCAAGTTTTGCAAAACAATTATGATGTGCAATGCTTTGAAATCAAGTTTGTCTATGATATGCAAAGTTTGAATATCGACAGATTATCAAACTATTCTGACCTGAATTCTGACTGTTAAACAACTATATTTAAAATTGTCCAAAGATTTCGATTGTGGATAGTTTGTGATAGTAAAATTGTATAGATAGGGGAGACTGGGGCACATTCGGCACTCGCGTTTTCGATATGAAGCTCTCACCGTACATAACTACTTTCGATACATAGGTATCGAATATCGAAATAAATAACTGTCACAAAATTTTAAATTTCTAGCTTATAAACTTACTTAGATGCACGGTTTTTTGTATTTTTACAGATGTTTTTGTAATATTTCCCTTCCATTTCGTAAGTTTCGTCTATAAAACTTTTCAAATTTTAAGACAATATTATTAAAAAGTGGTTAATTACGATGCGTTTTATTATAGAAATATTTAAAAATATAATGTTTTTACAAGACTGACTGAAAACAATGAACAAAACTATAAAAAGTACATTCGGGTAGATTCGGCATTTTAAAGTGGGGCACATTCGGCCATATACAGATAGTGCAATATTATTTCCTTAAAATGTTTTTGTGTTTGTCTTTAAAAATAATCCTTTAATATGGTTCGAAATTACATATATAAGACTAAACGTGCTTGTATTGACGATAATGCGATAAAAAACCTATTTCTGATGGTGTGTGCGACCAAGAGATTTCAACGTCCGCCGCTAGAAAATATAGCCCCAAAATTCAAACATTGTGTCGCGTATTAAAACCAAATAAAGCCTTTAGAGGATCTGAATTTCAACCAGACTGATAGCGATGATATTTACCAGGCTATGACTATGGTGCCGAATGTGCCCCATCAAATGCCGAAGCTACCCCGGGTTGGGGCACATTCGGCGAATTTGATTTTTTTTTTACAAAACTGTAAAATTTTTGTAACTAATACTTATTTTTTATATCTTTTTGGTACTAGTTTTTGTAATTAAGTGTCAGAGGACAATAATCAGACATAAAGTTGATATATATGTTGAATAAGTACTGAGATATAGAGCTCTAAACAAAATGTGCCGAAGGTGCCCCAGTCTCCCCTACACTTATTGTTAATAATACTGAGTGTAGAAGTGGGAAAGGCTAAAGTGAAAATAGATTTGATTTTATAAAACATTAGCGGGCCCGGCTAACGTTTTCTTGCCTAGCAATATTGTTAATATATAATTTTTATTGACTTCGGAAATTTAGATTTGTTTTTATACTTTTTACCATAAGGCAGATATCGTTTGTAATACCTTGGTATTTGTCGGAGCTGATGTTTATGAGCGAGTCTGGTTGCCATTTTTGTCTTCTATAGTACGTTTTTTTATAATTGATTTCATGGAAAAAAAAATTTAAATTCACATATCGCTGGCTTAACTTGTAAAGGCAATAAGTCCCTTTTTAACAATTTTTCAGGAGAGACAAAAAACAATCAAACTTTTTGTATTTTATTTATTTGAGATACACGCCTTTTTTGGGACTTAGAGCCTTTTCTGTCCCTAACATTGTCAAAAATATTAATAAATACAAGTAAAAGCATCGTTAGGTTCGCATGAGACGAACTTTTTATACTCTCCACCATGAGGTACACAGTCAAATACTTATATACTTATACTATACTTAGATATTTGCCAAAAGAAAATGAAATATCAAACTACAAGCTATTGGAAATTTGGGCTAGGACCTTGTACATACCGACATCCGCAAATTGGCAGTACAGTTATATGGGAGCTATACTAAATCGCGGACAGATATCGATAATTGTTTGTAGGAAGATTCGACACCCAATGAGAACCCAGAATATCAAAATAGAACCAATTCAATTGATAAACGTACAAAAAATCCCCTTTGAAAAACCTGCCCACAACTTCCAAAATTCCGAATATTGGGGATAACGTTATATGGGGGTACCCTAAAAATTGGACCAAATTTGGTAATTTTTTGTTGGAAGGCGTGCCATGAGTATCTAAAATACCACATTACAATCAATTCGGCTGAAATCGTGACCAAAATCGTCAAAATAAAAAGTGGACTAAGAGCTTTTACATTGTGTTACTCCAGTAACGTGTGTTGAAATGGACTTAACGCATTTACTAATCAATACAAAACAACAATATTTTTTTTTAATCGATGTGTTTTGCCTTATTCTACATAACTGTATCAAAATCTCAATTTCTAGAAAAATGGACTTGTTGCCTTAACAAGTTAAGCCAGCGATATAAGTTCTACTTTCGGATTTTTTACATTTTATCCAATATATTTATAAGACTTCCCCATTACGGTAACCTAATATTAGATTTGCTTTTTATACCCTCCACGCCAAATGTGGAGTACCATTAATGGTACTCCACATTTGACGATGCTGTGGGGGATTTGGGCACGTTTTTAAATCTTATCAGCTGCAATTTGACATTCGGTTGTTTTATTTCGTACTATGAATCATTTCAAAATTTCCAATAATTGACAAATGAAGGCTAAATATCTCAAAATAACAACTACGACGTGGTGCAATCAAAATAGCTCGATACTAAATTCGTGGAAATGCAATATGCTTCATAATTTTATTTTAGCAAATTTTTCGCGGTTTTGGATTTTTTCTCATCTATTGAATTTTCCCTATTTTTAAAACATGTTTTTGTACTAAATAATTACTTACATTCTTGATTACTTACTGTCAGGTGGGCAATTTTGTCCTTGGGTTGGCACCGAGATGTTCGCCGTAATAGTCCGGATACGATAAACCAAATTTCCCTGGATGGAAATGCATATACCAATCACAATGGAGGTAATTCAAAAATGAAAACATATCGTGCTAATTCGAATAAAGCGGACGACAGCATTATCACCAGCAACTTAGCTAGATTCTTAGCTTGGGGCTTGCCTGCTTTTCAAACTGCCGCTGTTATTGTTGCACGAATTATAGATGCTGATGAACTTCTAGGTGAGTAGATTGGATCATCATGTACATACATATATGCATTAATATTATTTTCATTGTGCAGGTGCGTGTTTTGTTGGTAATCAATCGGACAAAGGTTTACAAATTTTAGTAGCCACTCCACTCTTCTGCTATTGGATTTTTGGATCTATGAATTTGGCATCTGGATTTTTGGTCCATCGGCGAAACAAAGATATAGCAAACGAATCAAATTCCACGCATTTAAGATTATTGATACAATATAAATATAGTATATCCGGATCATTTCTATTCATGTACTGTGTTCCTTGCGTGTTGCTTCTGCTGGCAGTCATATATGAGTTTGCGAATATCGATGTGTGGCTTAGTTTATCAAATATAAATGAAGCTACTCCAATGTGGCCTTTTATGACAAGAGCCTTTATGGAATTGTTGCTGGCAATAATTGCATTTTCATGGATTTTAGTACCCAAATTGTCTTTGATGTACAAGGGACATATGATTAAAAGCAATAAGACTAAAATTGTCGGCGTACCACCTATACACAATTCAATACATACCACGAACAATATTAGCTGTCGTTCATCTGGTAAAACTTACAGTACTGTTTCTTATCAATCTGTGCGACAATCAAAAAATACGAATCAACAACATCAAAGTAGTGCAATATTATTGAAACATCCTCCATACTCCTCCATTGGACGCGGAAAATCCATTCAAAAAAGTTCAGTTCACACGCCAATCAATTCACCAGTTAAAAAAACGTCACATGCGTTTCAACTTTTCAATGATGAAACTATACTGTAGCGACTAAATTGATGTCAATTTTTATATTGGATCAGTCTGTGATATACATCAATGTATTGCCGATAACTAGAAACATTCGAGTGCGTATTATATCCCCTATAGACGTTCATTGAAACAGCTGAACATAGGTCATTTTGAATGACATCCGGATAACTGTCACCTCTTACATTAACACAAAAATAAATGTAATTGTACTTATTGGGCAACTGTACTTACCTATATTATTAGCTATAAGAAATGTGCCATTAATTATAAGAAATATTTATTTTTTCATGTAACATTTTGAACTTGGTGATAATTTTATACGAAAATATATCATGCAGTTCGTAATGTTTGAACATATATTTATATATAAATATATATATGATACGTATTAATAAAACTATACATTCTATATATCTGGAGATAAACACTTTTTTCTTGTCACTCAAATTATTATTTTATATAAAAATTAATATTTGGTTATTAACATATATTACGCATTGTAAATATGCAATTGATACAATTCAAATTATAACTGTTGATATCGAGTTGATTTGCTCCATGTTTTTAATTTGGTATAACCGCATTCGATATTGAATATATTTCATTGAAATGTCCGATAAAAACTATAGAGGATTTGATCGTAGCTAATATAGGTGTCGAAAAGAGAAAAAACCAACACGAATATCAGCAAGAAGAGGATCAAAGTCGGATTGGATTAATATATAACACAAGAAAGCACTTTGGATGTATTCAAATAGCTTATATCGCATAAAAATGCTATGTTTAGACAAATTAACATCTGACTCAAATAAACTCTTGCAGAAAGTTCTAATTTAAAAAATGCCCGGGCTTATAATTTCTTTTACTTCAGAAAAATGTTTTAACCAATAATTCCGCAAAATTTAGAGATGTCTATCATAACCTTGTATTAGTTTTTTCTGCCCAATATGCATGTGCGCTTATGTCTACCTATTTCTCGAAGAAATCAATAACTTTTCATGAATAATTCCGATCGGATGGTGAATTCAGCAGGTACAAACGTATCGAAATTTAATGTCGAATAAAACTCACACACATCTCTTTCTCAAATACAAAATTAATGAAGTCTGTCAGTTACACATTACAAATAAGTACTTTTTAAATGCCTTCTGACCAAAGAAGATCTAGATAAAATGATAATGTTTGCATCTAAAGAGGTGACAGATCAATTACCGGTTAATCTCAACAAAATTATTTCAGAAACTAGTTTTTCTAAAGTTCTTTTCCCGTTGCGTCCTTCTTATCCCCTTCTCCTGAGAACTCAAGTAGCAGAGTAGTAACCAGGAATAAAATAACTTTCAAATCACTTTCAATTTTGTTTTTGAAATAATGTTTCGGTAAACATTTCCATTAAATTTAGCGCAATCGTTTTAACATCTGCTTCCTTTCCAGTGCTGCAATCCTTCCGTGCGTCAGTAGCATATACTTCTGTATTTGGAATGGAAGATATCTGAATTCCTGAGTCAAATTCATAAAATTTGAAATTCAAATTGGCTATGTTCGTAAATGTAATGGAAAATAATGATAGAGGTGTTGCTAACGTGTCTGGACAATGCTCAATAATTATATCATTCATCAGGACCTGGACTTTTTATTGATTTTAGACTATTATTCTTAGTCATATCCCATATTCATATCCTTTGCTGTTAAACTGGGTTATTCCATGTATAATAAGAGCTTCGCGGGCTGATCAATTCAATTAAATAGACATACATAAAAAGTTTTTCGACTAATTTTTCAACTGTATCTTGGACATACACGCTTTTCAATAAACTTATTTTAGAGTTTGGCACTAAATGTATTGGGAAAATAGTAATTTACAAATTTTAATAAGATCTCGTTTTTAATATATACAATTTTGTATATTATTTGCTTCGTTCCAGTATCTGGTAAGGGAATTATCATATCTAAAAATATTTGCTAATAATATTAAAATTTTTTTAAGTTTTTCACTTTTATTTATTACTAGCGGGACCCGTGGCGCTTCGCTGCCCCTGCTGAAGTTATCAACTTAAAATTTAGATATGGTCAATTAGAAAGCATCCTATATGCAGCTGCAATATTTACTAAATTTAATTTAAAATTAGGTAAACCCTTGTATTTTTATATGCTCGCATTAATGTCCATGTTGTAGTAGTTGTATAGTAGTTATTAAATAATTCGCTGTTTTCTGTAATGGTGGTAATTTTTGTTTTCTTGAAACACAATTTTTTCGCAAAGTAACAACCATTCAAAAAATATATATTATCACCTCCATCTGTTACCTCCTCCACAAATTGTTTAGAAGCCTTGAAGAAAGTGTTTAGCTCTTAGTACTACAGTATAAAGGAATAAATATGCAGCCTCATAAAACTCGATTTTTATACCCTTCACCACACTGTGGTACAGGTCTTTGTCCATATGTTTCTAACAGGCAAAAGGAATCGTGATACACCCATAGTTCCTTTTGAGAATATGCATAGAATCACTTTCTGAGTCGATTTACGCATGTCCGTCTGTCCCTCCGTCCGCCCATGTATTTTTGTTAACAAAGTACAGGTCGCATTTATGATCCGATTTGGATGAAATTTGGCACAGTTCACTTATTTGGCCCAAGGACAAACCCTATTGAAATTGGAGAAAATCGGTTCAGATTTAGATATAGCTCCCATATATAGTTTCGTCCGATTTTATGTAAATGATGCACCAAACTCCCAATATTTTCATGAAAATTGTTTCAGATTTAGATATATATATATATATATATATATTCGTCCGATTTTAGGTAAATAATGCGTCAAAGTCCCTATATATCCTTCGATTTGCACGAAATTTAGCATAGCGTACCGAATTGAGTCTAAAGTGATGAGTTGTAAGCTCGGTATAGCTCCCATATATATTTTCGTCCGATTTAAGGTAAATAATGCACCAAATTTATCCGATTGTGTCAAAACTTTGCACAGCGCACTGAATCAGGTCCATACTTATGTATGCAAAGTTTTGTTAGACTCGGTTCAGATTTAGATATAGCTCCCATATATGGTTTCGTCCGATTTTATGTGAATGATGCACCAAACTCCCAATATTTGTCCGATTGGGACAAAATTTTGCACAGACTACTAAATTTGGTGCAGACTGATGTCTGCGAAGTTTTGTTAAAATCGGTTCAGATTTATACATAGCTCCCATATATAGTTTCGTCCGATTTTTTGTGAATGATACACCAAACTCCCAATATTTGTCCGATTGAGCAAAATTTTGTATATCAAATGCTATTAAAAAAAATGATGTGTGATAAGGTTTGTTGAAATCGGTTCAGATTTTGATTTAAGTCTTACATATAATTTCGTTCCTTTTTATGTAAATGCCGAATTGATTTACATTAGATCCATGTGCTTATATATAGCTCCCATACATAATTTTACCCGATTTCATACAAATGGTACCAAAGAATACAAGATTGCCTGTTTGACATGCAATTTTTCATTGATTTCAAAATGGTATGTGTATGGTTTTTTCATTGGTGCAAATATCTATGAAGATCACACATTTAATTTCGCCCAATACCAATTCAATGGACCTTCAAAGATGCGAAGTCTGTTCTATTTACCAGATATTGTATATATGTATTTGCATCTCTTGTATGTACTCAAAGTTGTGAAGGGTATCATATTGTCGGGCCCGTCCGACTTTTGAACTATCCTTACTGGTTTGAAATAACAGTGGTGTATCTGAATTTACCCTATCCCAGTCTCTAACTTTTTCCAGGTGATAAAACGATTTATAATTAAAATGATTGTTTTTTTTTTTTTTTTTTTTGAAATCCAAATAATCTGTGTTTGATTTTGTGCAAAATAAAAATTTTTTCACAAACTGACAAAAATGGAAAATTATAATGTCAACCAATTTTTTTTCCATTCTACACAATTTTTATTTCAATATACATACATACATGCATATGTATGTATTTCAAAATATATCCTCATCATTCGAAAGTATTTCCTCATCGGATGATGAGTATTTGTATCCATGTTACTCAACCATATTTTCAAGCCGCTACGTTAAGATATACCCATAGAAAATGTTCTACATATGTACATTCTTTCAGATGTATGAATACTTCTGATGCTATTACTCCTCAGTTTTTTCCAACCTATGTTACTTCCATGCGATCGTTTGACTTACTATGAACATTTTAATAAAATCTGCTTAATGGTTTTTGAGTCCACAAACAATATTTTTTCTATTTTCTACGTATAAATTTAAATGCAATGAGTTCTGCATTTTCCCTTGTCCGCGGTCTGTCGTGTGGATGATGCGTATTTACACTCACGGTACTCAGCAATACTTTGAAGTCGGTGTCTGTAACCGTACTTAAGATATACACGATTTACATGTTCATAATTTTTGAGGTATGATTACATTCGATGCTCGGGAAATCTTAGATGTGGAATCTTAGCATATGTTATTCCCAGGGCATGTTATGACGTTCTGTGAAAATCTCAGTCAAATCTTTTCAGCATTTTAGAGTCTACAAACAAAATATTTTCAATTTTTAATATGCTGATTTTTAAAATGCAGTAAAAAGTGCATTTTCCGTTGATCGTACCATGCTCATTTTTATATGGATGGTGTGTATTCACACCTTCGTTATTCTGGCAAATTTTGAAAACAGTATCTGTAACCGTTCTTAAGATAAACGCATATTATATGTTCAGAAATTTCGAGGTATGTTTACTATTGATGCTATAACTCCGCATCCACGCGGAATTTTAAAAGTTTATATAGCCTATGTACTTTCAGGACGTGCCCCGACATACAGTGTAAATCTCATTAAGATCTGTTCAGCGGTTTTGCCGTCTATCGGTAACATACAAACAAACAAATTTTTTTTCTATTTTATATACATATGTATGTATGTTCATATCTTACATTATTAATATTGGCAATGAATGTCCTATATTCCTATTAAAAATATTCTTTGGCAAGTGTTACATAGTTTATCTCGTAGTTTAAACAAAATGTTTGCAAATTTAATTTAATATAGAAGTTGTAGTAGAGTTTAACAATACCTGGACCTGGACCAGTGGCTCTATAATAATTGTACTGGCTTTACAAAACGTTTTAGCCACTGTACGGTACATTATGTGGCTAAATTCTAGTTTAAGGGTCGGGAATCGTATTGAAATTTTTAGCATATCAAAACATTTGTTCATATCCAAATTTAGAACAGTAATTCATTAAACAATGGGACTATCAATCTTTTTTTTCGTAAATTTTTCTATAGGGATCTGAGTAAATTCGGAACTTTGGAACACTAAATAATATTGAGCCATCAGAGCGACGGGAAGAAATCAGCAAAACAATGATTATTAACGGTCCCACCATTCAGTTTTCATATATTTTAATTGCTACAAATATACTTAATACTGACAATGCCAATCCTCACAAGAGTTATTTTTTACTCTAACGCTAAAAACCTATACAAAAATGTAATGTACAAAAAATGGATGTAATGTCAGGCTCATCAAAGAAAAAGAGAAACTGGATAATAACTGTCAAAAAGAACACAAAACATACCAGTCTTTTAATTAATATTTATTTTTTCTGCTAAGCCTATGTTTTACTTTACCTTGGATATAACGAACTTCTTCTTCTATCACTTATGAGCCTTTTTATCACCTTGTGTATCGTATTTGATATACCGAAAGCCTTTTTTGTTCTTTTTCTTTAAAACAATTGAATAAAATACAAAAGTGAACAAATAAATATAAAGCCCATATCTCCGGAAATACCGATTATCTCAAGAAATAATTTATACCGTTATAATCATGGCCTCAAAGACTATTTATGGCAACAGTGTCCCATGTATTGCTATTTAATAATGAATGAAATTGAATTTGAAAACACAGTACCCAGACCCTGAACTAGATTTGTTCCATTTCTGAATTGCTGCAGAAATAGCAAAATTACTCCAACAGAATGAGCTATTATCTGAATCATATTGTGATTGAAATTTATACTACTAAAGTATCAATCCGTAACACTGACAGGTTTTTATATATGGTTATCTAAAAAAAAACTACGTTTCTATTTGGTATAATAAATACTTAAAAAACTAAACATAAAACAGCGCATGTAACCCTGGGAATGGAATTTGTGCAACAATTTTTATGAGTCATGTTGCGGTTTCCGATACGTACTTCTGACATCTATTTAAGGCATATTTGTTACATATGTGTCCGTGGATAGCTTGTTATGACTGTATTTGGCTCGTTGTTGTTGTTATGATTATTCCATGTAGAATTTGACTCTTCCTCAACTTCTTTTTCTGCTTGTTCCTTATAAACGGCTTCAATATCAGACTCACTCATAAATTTTGGTGATGTGATTCCCAAAAAATTCGCCAATCCTCCTCCGACGTAATCAATGCCGTTCAAAAATTTGCATCCTGCTTGATATACCTTATATTTAATACGAGGAACGGTGGGTAAGGTATTCTATGGGTAATAAAATTAAATCACAATGTAATTAATATTATCGATTGTTCAGAAGTTAATCTTCTCATGTTTATGTACAGATCGTCCATCGCATTGACACATTTCTGATTGTAAAAGTTCCGAAGGTACAAGTTTTTTTCAAGAAGAATAATATGGATACTTAGATAAGTCTAGCCAATTGAATAACGCAGGGTGTATCATCGGAACTTCGGAAGCAAGAAGCGCAACCTTAAACTATATTTGGTAAATAGCATTACTTACAACATCTATATTGACATTCATGTCCGCGGTGTCCACTGTTTCTTCGCCATCGCTATCGGAAAAGTCTTCCATTGTTCCATCGCTGAAGTGAAGTACCCGCTTGGATTTTTGCAGTTCCAAGGTAGTAATTTTATCGCACTCGTCTATTTGCGTTCCTTCCATCGCCGACGTTTGTTTTGGTTCTAAAGTTTAGAAAGTGTTTTTACTTTTGTTTGTGAATAAAAAGAGAGGTAGACAAGCTCCTCGTCGTGCTCTTTGGGAGAATTGTTTACAAAACACAATGTTGTAGACAGGGTGACCACGATCGATTTCAAATCTGTATATAGTGCACATCAATCTAAGGTAAGGCACTGAAATCATTTCAAATGACTGCCCACTGGCATTTGTTTAGATACACTTGTTTACAAAATAAATATAAAATTCTTTTTTTTATATGTATATTTTTTTATTCTTCTAAATACGTATTTTTGATTTTCTCTTAAATGAAAATCGTCCGAAATATGCAGTATAATTTCAGCCGCTAAATGCACACCTCGATTAAACCCATAAAATGAAAAGTTGAGAAACCCAATTATGTATGTTCCGTCGTAATATAATATAAATTTGAGATTTACATTTTTCAAAATGAGGAATTAATTGTCTACTAGCTCATTTAATGAGAACAATTGCAATTTATAGTACTTTATGACACATAAATAGGATTGCATAGCATAGTATGGTATTATCGTGTATTATTTTGAAATAAATGACACTGGATTGTGGCAGTTTTAGGAAATAAATGACGCAACATGCCGAAATCCTTATTTCCTATTGTATGTAAACGCCCTTTAATGCTCCTTATACACTCCACATGAGCGTCAGTCACGAAAGTAAATTTCAATGTTTTAAAATCGAACTGAAAAATTGTCGGCTTTAAAGATATCAATTAATATCCATAGCACGTTTAGTCTTCTAAATTCACTCGATATCAAATGTCAATTCCATAGTGTATACCTCACCATAATCATGTTCACAAATTCAGTGGATTATACTTGACGTATTTGAGATCGAGTGGATTTCGTAAATCTAAACGAACTTTAATTAATGTTTGACATAACACATAGAAATTTTCCAAGAGAAGGCAGCGTTCGATAACCTTTTAACGAAACTACAGGGTGACACAAAACACATTTATTTTGCTACTATTGGTCTGTTCCCGTACAGCAGATGCAATAATAAGGTGATGTATCAAAACAAAAACCATTGTTTTTGTCTCGATTATCTGTCAAAATTTTCCATATAATATTTCAAATGGTTGGCAACGCTGCGCATCGAATTTAAGTAGAAATTACCCACTTTGACAGTTAACAATTTCAGTGCTTTTGTCGAATATATTCGACATTTAAAATTACTCTCTTCCTTTACAATTTTTCGGTTGTCCTATGTACCGTTACAATTGATGTCTTTGTTTTTGCTGAAAGACAGACAAAACTGTCCGAGGGTTAAAATAAGAATTGCTTTTTTCTAAACTCTGTGCCTTCATATGATTTTAAGTACAACATTTTAGATTTTTTTCCGACAAAAATTTTTTTGGCACTGAAAGGGTTAATCAAGACATCAGCTGCGCTAAATGGACCGAGGGGTAAGGCAGGGAAGACTATAGTTTCGGATCACGCCACTGATCCTCATCAGTTCCCTTGGTTTTTGTTAGGATATTCTCCCCAGAAGCTATTGCTTCTATACAAAAAACCTTTCAAACCCAAATGTCTCTTGTAACAAAGCGAAGTACTTAGCTGACCAACGACATAAACTGCATGAGAATTTCGCTGGTGCCTCACTTCGAGGTTAACAAACAATACCATGCCTTTCCCACTGTTGTGTGTTGTCACATCGCGATAAATGCACACAACGACTTTGTTGGTGTTGCTAGTATACAGCAACAAACCAAACAGTTTAACCGTGCCTGCGTCTTCAACTTCAGTAGTGTTGGCGGTTTATTTGGGATACCATTTGTATTTTGTTTTTGCAAAATAGTCGTTGGTCAGCTAAGTACTTCGCTTTGTTACAAGAGACATTTGGATTTCTTTCCAAAATCCAGTAGGAAATACAATGAAATATTTGTCTGGAAGTAATTGCTTTGTTATGGATGAATAACAACGTAATTACTTCCAGACGGACGCAAAACCTAATTTTCATTTCAATTAAATTTGAATATATTTTAATTTATTTTGAATTTTTTTGACATAGTATTCAAAACAATACACACACATACACAAAATATGTATTTTGATTTGATGGAGCAAGCCACCTCGATAAAAAAATTGTAATCAGCTGGTATTAAATTGAGCCTAGAATACCGCCTATAAAAAGTGGACCGATATTTACAACTTTTAGTAGAGACATTTAGTACCCAATAAGAACCCATTGTACCAAATTTCAGCGAATTCGCTTGAATATTGCGCTTAAGAACCCCAAAACATCGAATATAAGGGTTAGCCTTATATGTGGGCTATGCCTAAACGTGGGCCGATATACCTTCGATCTTCGAACTTGACCTGTCTGCAGACAAAGGACAACTGTATGTAAAATTTTGGCGATCTATGGTGATCCCATTGGACATTTCCATGTTGTCGGATGAATTCAATGGAGTGCGTTCAAGTCTTGGAAGACAAATTATTGCCATTTTGGGAAAGCAGCAACAATATGTCAAGGGTTAAAATCTTATTAAAATTTCCGCCTAAACATGTGTGGAATCTTGACTCGTCGATGCAGAAAACAGCCAATACCAAACATTATTTTATTTCCAAGAAGTGATTATCGATGAATGGCGGTCAATGATGAAGACTTGCGAATAATTTTGATCAACAGTGTGATGGATAAAATTTTTGAACTTATTCAAAATAAGGACAATTATTTATAAAAGTTATTTTATTTAAGTTTTAAAAAATAATTTTTTCTAATTTTGTAAAAGTGCGTAAAATTTTGAAAGGGCAGAATTCTAAAGAATAAATTAATTATTTTTGTTGAATAATATGTGTTTTTGATCGTTTTATTGTGAACAATAACTTAATGGGTCCATTTTATTTGTCAACTAACATACCAATTGAATTAAGGGTGCGTCTATAGTTATGATACGCAATGTATAGTCTTCAAATACGAAATATCTGGAATCCTTTTTGTAAAAGCCAGTATTTCTATCATGGCAATTTTTTCATAAATTTGCTTTTGACAACATTCTGCTTTCAAAATTTAAACGAAAATATCTTCCTTCGAAATGTACGCGTTAGCGAATGTGCGAAGTATTTAAAACCCAATACCGACTATTATTAAAATTTTTTGTTCTTGAGCCGATTAATTGCTTTTATGACCTCATCTTGGCTAGGTGGTATACATTCTATACCATCATCTCTTATTGGTTCTGGGGTATCTTCTTCATCGCCACTATTTGATACTAGAAGCTTTTCGAAATGCTCCTTCCAGATCCTCAACACGCTGTCTGTATCTGTCACCAGGTTTCCTTCTTCGTCTCTACAGGAGGATGTGCCTGCACCAAAGCCTTCGGTTTGGTGTTTTACTCGTTGGTAAAATTTCCGGACTTCATTCTGACTCCTGTGCATCTCGATTTGCTCACGCTCACGTTTTTCTTGTTCTTTCTTCTTTTTCTGAAAACATGTTTCTCCTCTCTCCTTTTTTTCCCGAAAATTCTCCATCACGTTACGTGTTGCTACTGTCTGCAGGGTTGCCCTATACGCTGCGTTTTTCACATCAGTAGCATTACGACACTCCTGATCGTACCATGGGTTTCTTGGTGGTGGTTTTTGGTACCCAATTGTTCCTTTTGCTGCAGTTAGTAGGGAGTGGGCAATTCTTTGACATTGTGCTTCTATACTATTATCGGGACAAGAAGTGCTTTCTTCAAGCAGTTGAGCGGAGTAGGCCTCGGCTACCTGTTGTGTTTGCAGCTTTTCGACGTCGAGTTTCCGTGTTGTATTAGATCGCACCTTTGCTGCAACATTAAGACGGGTGCGTACCTTGGCTGCCACAAGGTAATCGTCCGAATCGATATTCGCTCCTCGGATCGATCGGACGTCTAAAACACGGGATGAATGCCTTCCGTCTATCACAACATGATCAATTTGATTTCTCGTTACTTGATCAGGAGAGATCCAGGTGGCCTTGTGTATATCGAGATGCTTGAATCTGGTGCTGCTAACTACCATGTTTTTTGCTGCCGCGAAGTCAATCAACCGCATGCCGTTGTCGGATTTTCTTCATGAAGGCTGAATTTTCCGACGGTGGGGCCAAAAATATTTTCCCTTCCGATTTTTGCATTAAAATCTCCTAGCAGAATTTTAATGTCATGGCCAGGGCAACGGTCATATGCTGTTTCTAGGCGCTCGTAAAATATATCTATATCTTCGGTCGGGGCATGGGCGCAAATTAGACTGATGTAAAAGAACTTCGCTTTTATACGGATTGTAGCAATTCGCTCATCTACTGGAGTGAATCTGGGGACAAGGTCTTTTATTCTCCTGTTAACCATAAATCCGCAGCCAAATTCATGTCTCGTTTCATGGCAGCTATAATACAGGGCGTAATCGTCTGATTTACTTACGCCTGTCCCTTTCCATCGCATTTCCTGTAAGGCAATAATATCGGCTTTGTACTTCTTGAGTATATCCGCCAAAGCGAACACTGCGCCTGTTCTGTACAACGTGCGCACATTCCAAGTGCAGATTCGCAGATCGTGGTCCTTTATACGTTTGCGGGGGTCGTCAACATTAGGGGGGTTTGGTTTTCTTTTTCTTAGCTTTTTCATAGTAGGTTAGGTTTTCCGAGAGTGGGCAACTAACCCGACGCCTCAACCCTTTTTTTATAGTTCTTATGGGTGAACTCGCGGCACATATTAGCTCACTATTTCATCGGGTGATGAGAATAGCTCCCCAGGTGGCACCGCGGGGAGGTCAGTGTCCACAATTGAGATGAAAGAGGGACCAAGATAAGCCTGGCCTTCGCCATGTTAAAGCCAATCAGAGCCGTTGCTTGGTATCTATCATCCCCTACGCCACCTTTTGTACCCTTTGTACTTTATTACTTATTAAAAAAAATTAAATATAGGTTATCCCAAACCAGTTAGTACACATTAATATAAATTTCCATAACTACCTACTTTAACAATCATA